GACGGCTATGGACAGCCGCAGAGGGTTGCCACTTGTTGCATAGTTCAGCCCGCCTCATCTGTTTCAGATCGGAGATTCGCTACTCCGCGTACCTGGTCCGGGGAAGCGTCAGATACGAACTGAGGAAGAAAAGATGTCCAACACAGCTCCGACTTTCTGACGAGTGTGAAGAATGGATCTCAAATTTGCCTCCGAGCATACTCATAAACACCACGGATTTCCCTCATGTCTCTCCTTAGCCTCGTTCAGAATCTCAGTTGAACAGGCCCATGCCCTAGTACCTTAGAAAACTCGCTATTTCAGTCTGTGGCTTTTGTTCTTTTCGTTTCCCATTGCATTCTCTGAACTTCTCTCCATTCCTTCCTTTTCTTTGTTCCTCCAAACCCTATGCCGTTCAGCACAAGGACCAGCTCCACTCCTCATACCTGTATGTAAACCATGTGGATCACATATTATGAGTGCGCTTTTCATGAGAAGCTTTGCACTTAGCCCCTATCCCGTGGTGGGAAGGACATGGTGTGGATTCAGATGAACAATGCCGTCTGATGTCCGTTGCTTTCCTTGTTTCCCATTCCTGTTCTCTACTTCTTAGCTCCTTCAAACTCCAGGCTCAGCCCAAGGGCTCCAATCCCTGTACCTGGTCGTATACCACCTTCGACTCACAATGTGGGCCTCCCCCTTTCCCCGACCCAAGAAGATTGCTGCGAACCTGCCTTCAGTGCAATAGTGCGAGTTTAAATTTGAAAATAAAACAACAAGTATGTTTCCCAGCCATTTTTTCAGAGACGCGGGCAGTGTGCATGCTGCCGCGTCGCGCCGGAAGTACCAGGTCTCCATTTGCTGGACACCCATCCAAGCAAAACGGGCCTCGCATGTGACCCGTTTCGCCTGGAAGGATGTGCCGCGAAACGCCACCCCCGTACTTCCCGCCCAACGCAACAGCATGCACCCCACTTCTCTGACAAAATAGCTGGAAAACGCACTGGTGGTTTAACAAAGCTTTTTTTTTTTCTCTCTCTCCTTTCCATTCCTTTTTTCTTCTTCTTAATCCTTCAAAATGTGGCCTGTTTCACCGTCATACTACTTGTACCAATATGCAAATCTCCCCGCGTCCAGATTGTGGATGGAATTTTGGTATTCCCAGTGTGGGCTTTGAATTTTCTTTTGTTTTGCAATGGAACAGACATCTGATATCAGAAACTTCAGACATCAGGCTCATCAACTTCCCTCAGAACAAAACCTTTCCCGCAGCATGATTCTTTTCTCTCTCTCTTCTTTTATAACTCGGCATCAGAAGCTTCAGATATCAGTTTCATCTTGTAAGAGAGGTTTTTGACCTCTTTAAAGCTCTTTTGGCATTTTTTGCACACAGCACACCACACCCTACAGAGTTTAAAGAGCGGAAGTCGACAACCACTTTTTGTACCTCTTGTCTACAATTATTTTCTCCCCTCTTCTTTTGCAATGGGCCAAAACGTTTCTCCCAGCCCCTGACATCAGGCTCATCAGAGTTCACACAGAGGTGCGTTCCGCTGCACACCCGCTTCCTAGCACTCTGGCAAGATAACTCTCGTGAATGTCCGGGGCGTAAGGACAATATTAAATATAGTTTGTAGGAATGTGTGGATTAATACTGCCATTTCAAAGGTTTGCGGATTGTGTGGTGAACATATAACTCGCACATAACATTCCTAGTTAGTTGCTTTGGCAAAGGAGTGAATGAGTCACCTCTCTTTTAAGCTTGATCTTGAAATATTTCCGTCTGAGCCTTCACTCCCAGATGAAAGACCCTTACCACTGAGATAAAACCCATAAACCTGTCCAATTCACACACAAGCACATACACACACACACACACACAAACATAGTTAGAGAGAGAGAGAGAGAGAGAGAGAGAGAGAGAGAGAGAGAGAGAGAGAGAGAGAGAGAGAGAGAGAGAGAGAGAGAGAGAGAGAGAGGGTTACCAGCTTGTCTTTGTTGCGAGGGATCATAGCTGCGACCTTGAGAAACCTGTGTATATCATTTAGAATTTTAGAGTTATAAATTATAATTAAGTTGTATGCGTACTACACATATTGTGTGGACCTTGCCGTTTCCACTTGGGTTTTGAGTGCAATGCAAACAAATATTCTTTTGGCAGTAAGGTGGATGATCAAGATCTTGATCCACCACGAGGCGGCTCATTTCATTGCACGTTTTTGTTTTTCTTTCGGATTAAATTCTTACACATTTCTGCACAAGGATGACACGCATAAATCGAGAAATGGTCCAAAATTTTCGGATTGCGCCTGGCCAATTTTTGAGGGGTCTGTTCCTCATGTCTGTTCGCTGGCAGATCATGGGCTGCATGGTCGGAAAAAAAATAAAGAAAAAGAATTCCTACACATATCTCATGATATCTGCATCAAACTGCGGATGTGAGTTGGCCTCATCTAAAGATACATTTCTGCAACTGTGAAACAACCATCCACAGCGGGCAGATGAAACTGGCATTCGGTCTTTAACGAATTACACTTATGTTATCCAAAAGAAAAGAAACCCACTTACATTCCCCCACGCTGCTCGTTGATATGATGAAGCATGCTGCTGTACGATACGTCGATGTCGGGAAACCCAATCATCGCCCAGAAGGTCCTTTGCCTCAGATCTGATAAACAACCAATGACAATGAAAAATAAAAACGATATATAAATTTCCCATGAGAATTCGCTACAAACTAGACACAGGACAACCAGTGAATCAACAAGCAGGAAATCCAAACCTCACACGTTACCACAAGAATACCGTGCACTCATTTACAACCCCACTGCCTTGCGAAGCACCATAAGAAAACCTCAAAGCACTGAGTAAGCTGTAGTGCTCATGCACTTTTTGGCATTTTTAAATGCTCACAGACTGTATCCCTGAAGTGTGTCTGCTGCAATGGGCAAAGCAATGAGCAATGGGCAAAGCGCACATGCATCACACGTACTTCATATACCACACGAGACACATAGTCACATTTGACGACAAAATGATTCAGCAGAGCTCATTACGAACTTGAGATGATGAAGATTGGAAACTACACCACGTCATCCCTCTGAAATTGATCCCGACAAGTGTTTCGGTCATGTTTCAGTCGTATGACACGAGTTAAACTAATCAACTTCCGGGGCTCATTATGGGCCGCGTGTCTGCTGTAGCCAAGGAGTCATCCCTCAATTATATCCACAACGTCAGTGGTTTTCACTTGGAATTTGACTGCAAATATGTGTTAAACTATTCAACTACAGGGAATGAAACATTATGAGACAAAACCTGCCACAAGCAGCATTGGTCACTCCTCTCTCTCTCTCTCTCTCTCTCTCTCTCTCTCTCTCTCTCTCTCTCTCTCTCTCTCTCTCT